ATTCTTGTTCCATTTGTAGAGGGCAGGCAGAGTAGACGTAGCATCATTCTTAAGGGCCCTGGGGATTTTAAGACCGTTCAGTGCACACTGCTTCAACTTAAAGTCACCAGCTGCATTAGCCCTAAGGAGAGACTCAGCCCATCATTTGAAGCTTTGAAGCCAGGCACTGACTCCTCTCTAGCCATGAAAGTTGTAGATGATGTCTTCTTCCAATAGAAGGCCCTTCTGTCTACACCGACAATCTGCTGCCCTCCTCAGTGATCTCAGCGAGGTCTCCTGGGTAACCTGCTGCAGCGTCTCCATCAGCACCAGCTGCTTCACCTCGTGCTTTATGTTTTGGGGTGGGCTTCTTCCCTTAAACCGTGCGAACAGCCTCCGCTGGCTTCCTCTGTCAAAAGGAAGCTTCCTCCTCTCTCTCGGCCTTTGCAGAATCGAAGAGAATCAGGTAAGACCTTGCTCAGGATCAGGCTTAGGCTTAAGGGAAGGTTGTGGCTGGTTTGATCTTCTGTCCAGACCTTGAGAACTCTGTCCATATCAGCAATAAGGCTGCTTCTCTTCCTTATCATTTGCATGTTCCCTGGAGCAGCACTTTTCATTTCCTTCAGGAATTTTCCCTTTGTATCCACAGCTTAGCTAACTGGTGCAAGAGGCCCAGATCAGCCCATCTCTGCTTCCGACACACCTTCCTTCCTAAGCCTAATCATTCCTAACTTTTGATTTAAAGTGAGAGGCTTGGGACCCTCCCCTTGAACACTCAGAAGCTGCGTCTGGAGACACAGGGAAGGGGGCCGGGTGAGAGACAGGGGAACGGCAGTTGGCACAGGGGTCGGGACGCACACGTTTGCTGACTGAATTCACCATCTCATGTGGGCACCGTCCGCACCGCCCGAAACAATTACAACGGCGAAGACCACCGGTCACCAGAACAGACACAATAAAGAAAAAGTCTGAAGCATCACGGGAATTACTCAAGGGGATCCACAGTGAGCACATAGTGTGGGATGAGGGGCGCCAGCTGGCTAGCTCCTCGCAGGGTGGTGCAAACCCTCCCTTTGGGAATAACGTTAACATCT